GTGTGTGTGTGTGTGTGTGTGTGTGTGTGTGTGTGTGTGTGTGTGTATGTATCTGTGTGTGCACAGCGACAAATGGGAACTCGTGCTTCTCTGGTAGAAACCAGAGGGCTGGAGACTGTCTCTTGCTGTCACTCCCATGACAGTGGGATGACACTCGATGACAGAGGCCTTCCATTGAGGCCACCCTTCAGCCAAAACACAGTCCCTTAATTTAATTTAGAGTGACCGACTATCCAGGTATCGTTTATCTGTTGGTTTGGACTGGTCTAAGAAGTAGGGGTAGCTCTGGACTGAGGCAGGCTGGGGCACAGTTGATCTGTAAGAAGACTGCCTTCTCATTCTCTTTATCATTAATTTCAATTTTCCCCCCATTTAAACAGTTTTGTTTTTGTTTTTTGCCATTGGGAGTCCATTGCAGCAATAACTGTTTCACAGTGTTTTGGTTTTTTTTTTTTTTTTTTTTAGTAATATTTATTGTCCGGTTAGCTAACATACAGTGTATACAGTGTGCTCTTGGTTTTGGGGGTAGATTCCCGTGATTCATCCCTTACATACAACACCCAGTGCTCATCCTAACAAGTGCCCCCCTCAATGCCCACCACCCGTTTTCCCCTCTCTCCACCCCTCCCCCCCATCAACCCGCAGTTTGTTCACTGTAATTTGAGTGTCTTATGGTTTGCCTCCCTCTCTATTTCAGACTGTTTTTTCCTCTTCCCTTCCCCCAGGGTCTTCTGTTACGTTTCTCAAGTTCCACATTTTAATTAAAAAAAAAAAAAAATTTATTTTTAATGTTCATTTATTTTTGAGAGAGACCGACAGAGTGCAAGTGGGGGAGGGGTAGAGAGAGAAGGAAACACAGAATCTGAAGCAGACTCCAGGCTCTGAGCTGTGAGGCTCAGAGCCTGAGGTGGGGCTTGAACCCACAAACTGTGAGATCATGACCTGAGCCAAAGTCGGACGCTTAACTGACCGAGCCACCCAGGCAACCCATCACTGTGTATTTCTTAAACAGGAGGGCATTTTCATTCATAGCCGCAGAACACCCATCACACTCTGGAAAGTGAACATGGGGACAATCTCTTTTGGCAGTTCTGAGGAGAAAGGCCCCGTGGTTTTGTAGAACGGCCCTCGGTTTGGGTTTGTTTCCTCATGATTGCATTCGCTTTCTACCACCTGGAGAAGACCGCACAAGAGGTGTCCTGTTCCTTGTGCATCGTCTCAGGAAGCACTTGATGCTTGTTCCGATTTTGGTGACGCTGACACATTAATCACTTGCTTGAGACGTAGAATTTATTTCTAAAGCTGAGAAAAGAGAGTCCCATGTTGCATTTCCTTTGGAGGAAAGCGCCTTCTGCGGGCTCAGCCTCTTCGGGATGGGGAGCTGGTGGGTTCCCTGGTAGAAGGGTTGTCTCCTCTCTGCCCTGCGTCCCTCACGCTGCCACCCTCTGCCCCACAGTGGCCATCAACCTCATCGTGCAGCACATTCAGGACATCCTGAACGGAGGGCTCTCCAAACGGCAGACCAATGGCTATCTCAACGGCTACATCCCGTCACGCAAGCGGCAGTCCTCGGAGTCCAGCAGCCGGCCGCATTGACCCCTGTCTCCCCCCGACCCGGCCCCTACCTTCAAGAGACAGGAGGAGGGATCAGGAGGCGGTGTTCATCTGTACACGTGGTTTCCTATGACATTGCTGTATTTAAGAAAACACCATGGAGGTCACATGCCTTTGGTTTTTCTTTCTCTGTTTTTGTTTCTTTTTGTGCTTTGGAGCGGCGCAATGAAACCGAATTTGACCCTGAGCTTAAATGATAAACTGTGCCAACTACTACTGGTGATGCCTAATTATGAATCCAACGTGTAACCAGTTATAAATACATATATATATATAAAAGGATCTATTTTTGTGTAAATGTACAAATACTGTAAAGCTGTTTGCTGTAAGTATTCTGCAGGAGGGCCTGTACTTGAGTGTCTGGGGGCTCGAGCTGGAGTCTTGGTCCAGTGGGGATTGCCCTTGTGATGCCCTTGTGATGGATCCAGGCGGGGCAGGCTCAGGCCTCGGTGTGGGAGGCTGGAGTGGCTCTGAGTGCCTGTGCCACTCAGTGACAGTGGGGTTGGGAGCCTTGGGTTGTCCCCCTGCCACAGTGCCACCTTCCCGGAGCAGGAGCTCTGTGACACGTCGACAAGAGATACCCCCTTCTTCTTTCCTCCTTCTTCTTTTTTTTTTTTTTTTTGAGTGGAAATTAGGCAAGACCTCAGCTCAAAAATCAAACTCAGGGAAGAGGCCCACTGAAGAGAAACAAGTCTTCTGTGTTTTCTTCTTGCCTGATGCCCCACCTCTGGCCGCCTGGTAGCTCAGGGTCTCCTTCCTTAGCCACCCAGGCTCTCCGAAAGCCAGCGCCGCCTCTCTCTCCTTCCTTGACAGGGATTTGATGGGATCATTTCCTGGTAAAATATGGGGAGGAGAGAGTAGCAAGGTACCTACTGTAGCGTCCGAGGAAACACTGGTTCCTCCCGCCTCCCGGGGACGTCTACGGTTAGATTCCCTGGGCCTTTTCCCAGATTGCAGAGCACAGGTGGCCTCTTGAGTTCGGGCTTCAGAGGAGGGCTTCTGCTAGCAGCAAGACACTTGGTGGCCCCTCACAGGGTGGCGACAGCCCTGCAGGGGTTATTCACCGAGATGCGGGGCTTGGCTGCCGGATGAGGACAGCACGCACTTTCCAGCAGGAATTGTCACTCGCAGCATGACAGTCGCCATAGTTACTGGGTAGAGAGTTCCACTTTTCCTGAGGGCTCCCTCTCTGGGAGAAGTACAGATCCCTGATGATCCTTGCTGGATGGGGGGCAGGAAGTGGGGGGGACTAGGTGAGACCGAGACTGAGGAGTGTAGAGTCCTAAAGCCTCAGCTTTTAACTGCAGATGAGTCAGAGGCCTGCATTTCTTCCTCGACCTTCTCAGTGCTTGGGAGGCCACGGCCCGAAACGTTTTGGGGAACCCTCTCCCTCCATTGCTGTCCTAGCCCATTGGAGCCGTTCAGGTAAACCTGACACAGCCACTCTCCCGCCACACCGCACTGCCCCCGAGACTTAAACCGCCATCCAATTTGATTCCCCCTTTCTGGGTTCCATTGGACTCTAACGCTGTTTTGCTGTTTCAAAAGAGTCAAACCTCCTCCCCGGCAGAGCTTTGCCACCCCTGAGTCATCCAGGAGACCGCAGCAGGCTCTGGAGGGAGCAGGGGAAGGCTCTCCGAGGTGCCCACGTTGAAGGCCAGTTCTGGATGTCTCAGAGTCCGTATTCTCTTTCTTGTCATGCCTCGACAGTTCTGACATGAAGCGTGGGTGCAGGCCTGGGTTAGGATCCTGAGGACCCAAGGCCTTGTGCCTTGATGGGGCCTCTCTGTGCCCAGGGGCAGCCCACTCCTGTCTGGGGGAGCCTTGGCCTTCCGGTGGGTAGCACATTCAACTTTACTTGAAGCTCCCAGGTGCCAAACCATTTAGTGCCTTGGCTGTCTGTCCCACTGCCTTGGAAGATGGATTCTTCTCATCTCTGAGCCTTGACTTTCTTAGCTGCTTCCTCATCTACCTGTGGTGTTGGGACCAAGCCTCCAGTGTCTCTGCTGGGAAACAGTGCTAGGCCTGCCTTGCCTCCAGGTAAAACTGTCACAGGTCTTGGTGGCTTGGCTGGGGGCACTGGGGCAAGGAAGGGAGGAGTCTGCCCCTGTGTGGCCACCCCAGCATTTAGTCAACTGAGCATCTGAGTTTGAGCCTTCTACCTGGCAAATCCTGGACTTGGTGTGTTGAGAGCCCTGGGATCTCTGATTCCACTGGTGAGTCAGGGGTAGGATCATTAGGCCAGAGACCATGACCTGAGTCCTGTGGGTCTTGTCTGCAGCCCAGGGAGGAGGGACCGACAGGCAGGGTGGGGATGATGTTGGTCATGTGTGCACGGGAGTCCCGTGGCTTCAGAGCTGCCCAATGGTGCTTGTTCTTTTCCCCACCCCTGCCCAGGTATTATCCACAGACCAAGTGTTTAGGGAACACACATCCAAGCTTCGTGTCACGGGAAGGCCTGACCACCTCCTCTTTCGCGCTAATAGAACTTATGCTGACCCGGGTTTCTTTTCCTTGGGCAGCCGGAGGCCAGTGGGGACAGAGAGGTTGGAGTGTGTGTAAGGAACACGCGAGTGTTTGGACCTCAGGTGTCCTTTGGAGTGCCTAAGGTAGGCCCTCGAGGTGGGCCCCTGAACAGGCCAGGGGGCGGGTGCAGGGAAGGGTCTCCTGTTCACCCTTCAGAACCAATCATTCCCCAACAGCCCGCTCCGGTCTCAGCCGCGGATGCTGCCCACCCGCCCCTGCTGGGCTCAGCACTGGACGCTTGTCCCCAGGCCCAGGGCGGGTTGCCAGTCTTTCATGAGGTCACTAGGTCAGGCTGAAGGCTTGCGTATTCCCCCGAGCAGGTGGGAACCAGCAGGGACTGGAGCCCAGTTGGTTTGTGGAGCCCCTCCTTTGCTGACCTGGTACAGCTTCCTCGATTTAGCACCCCTGACCTGTGCTGGCACCGAAGGCCCGCGGAGGGAACTAGTAGATCCTTGCAGGGAAATGTTTCTGCCCTGGAGTCTCCCACCTGCCTGTCAGCGACTCCAGCACCAAGGGACCGTGCTGGGGTCAGTAGCCTAGGGCAGGTTTGGGATCGCAGGGCTGTGCTTCTGGGAAGGACCGGCTGGACTTTGGTCTAACGCTGCCTTTCCCCTGTCTCAGGGTGGGGTGGGGGCAACAGGCTTGGTGTCCGTGAAACAAGGGAGACAGCAGGTTGGGAAAAGGCCTGGAGTCAGTCTGGGGCTCAGAGTGCTCTTTGATCTTTGGTCTCTGGGCCCCATGCTGCCCTCCTGGGCCTCCAGGTGGCTGGCCTTCAGATCAGCTTCCTTGCTGCAGTTAGAGGTCACGAGTGCCTAGCTGGTCCTGCCTCAGGAACAGGGTGAGTAGCTAAATAAAGACGTAGGCATTTTTTGTTTGGGGTTTGTTTTTTTTTTCTTTCAGATACTTGGTCTTCCTCCCTTTCTTTCTACTGCCCTGCCTTTATTGTTAGTAGTTAACAAAAATGACCGCATACTATGTACTTTGCTGTAAATAAAGTCTGAACGGAAAAAGAGCCAATTCTTGTCTCCTTTGTGAGGTTTGGGCAGGAGGAGCGGTGACTGAGGCCAGTGGCGGAGGGCACACGGCCTGCCGTCACTAAGCCGCTCAGTCCCCGGCAGTCCTGGGCCGGACCCCAGACCGCAGCTGGCCTGGGATCCTGGACAGACGTACACTTGGGCATTTCTCCTGGTGCCTGTCCCTGTCCCCGAAAGCCGGGGCCAAGCTTTCTGGGAGGCTTCTGATCTCTGGGATGTTCTGCTTCTGAGTATCCCAGTCAGTGCAGCTCCTGCCTGGCGGTCTGCCCTGGGTCATTCGCCACCCCTTCCTCCACGCCCACATTGAAACTCCAAACAACCTTCCAAATGTAGAGAACTTGATGGGGGTGGTGGTGGAGGAGGTTTGTTATAACAATGTGCGAAACTTCTCAGGGGGGTGTGTGTGTGTGTGTGTGTGTGAGCACTCTAAGCGATACAGCTATTGATATATATTAACCAGTGCAGATACAGTAAAACCTTGAGTTGCCAGTAACTTGTTCTGGGAGTGTTCTGCAAGCGAGCCAACGTTTCTAATACATTTTAACTTGATAAACAAGGGATGTCTTGCCATACGAGTAGTACGGAGGTCACATGATCACAACCGAGGCAAGGGTTCTTGAAATTCGCTTTGATACGCGAGTGCTTTGGCTGACAAGCATGTTTCCGGGAGGAACTCTGCTCGCGTCAAGGTTTTACATATATCTCCCTGTTCTTTTAAAATTTTTTTAATGTTTATTTTTGAGAGAGAGAGAGAGAGAGAGAGAGAGAGAGAGAGAGAGACACAGCACGAGTGGCAGAGGGGCAGAGAGAGGGAGACCTGGAATCCGAAGCAGGCCCCAGGCTCCCAGCTGTCAGCACAGAGCCTGATGCGGGGCTCGAACTCACGGACCGCGAGATCATGACCTGAGTCGAAGTCGGACGCTCAACCGACTGAGACACCCAGGCTCCCCATATAGCTCCCTGTTTTTAAATGACTAGGTCACCCACCACCAAAGGTTGTAAGATAATTGGCCTTGGCGCTCTTCTTGGCTCCCTGCCCCCCCCCTCCCCACCTCTGCGCCCTCTAGGATTCCATCCCTTCACCCCTGCCTCCCAGACACTGAATCACCCTCATTAACGTGCTGTGAAATTAATAAAGGGAAACATGGGCTACAATGGAGTCAGGAGGTCTGGCAGGGGTGGGTGGGGTGTATATACACACCCTACCGCCTTACCGCCTGTCAATTGCAAATCCAACCGGAAGAGAGGACCTTGCAGGGAGATCCTACTGGACTCTCCCCCTGGAGGAAAAAAGGCTTACCTCCTTTCCCGCCGGCAACAGCCCAGCCAATGGGAGGCCACTATACTTCCCACCCCCCAGTTTGCTCCAATGGGCTTGCTCGTAACAGCCTTCCCAACTTCCCCTTTCTTCTATAAGAGACCATACCTCTCTGTTCTGGCACTTGCCTGTGGTTTTGCTACAGGTAGCTTATCTTGGCTCGCCGTTCTTTGCTATTTCCAAACAAATCCACCTTTTGCTGGTAAAATAACTGGCACTTGTATTTTTTATTAAATACTTTTTTTTAAATGTTTACTTATATTTGAGAGAGAGTGTGAATGAAGGAGGGAGCAGAGAGAGAGACAGAATCCAAAGCAGGCTCCATCCAGGTCCTGAGCTGGCAGTGCAGAGCCTGACGCAGGCCTCGAACCCACCAACCGTGACCTGAGTGGAAGTCGGACACTCAGTCTACTGAGCCACCCAGGTACCCCAAGACTGCTGTGCTTTTAAATAACACCTAAGCCCTTATCCACCCTCTGTCACAACATCCTCTGAGCCAACAGAGCCAACCTCCTCCTACACAGCTCGGAGACACCACTTTGGCTGGTGCAGCTTTAGTTAAACCCTTCATGGGCTCAGTTGAAAATAAACCTATTAGGACCTGCTTGAAGGTTATAAGGAGTGGGGAGGGGTGGAGAAGGGAAACTGGGAGGCGGGAAAATTCTCTTTGAGATGGATTTCAACCAACTTCTGATGGTAGAATATGGGTTTTTTTTTCTTTCTTTTAGGATTTGTTCTTTTTTTTAAGTTTATTTTCAGAGCGAGCGCGAGTGGGGGAGGGGCAGAGAGAGGGAAAGAAGAATCCCAAGCAGGCTCCGGCTGTCAGCACACAGCCCAACGCGGGGCTCGAACCCATGAACCCGGGAGATCATGACCTGACGCGAAACCAAGAGTCAGCAGCTTAACCACCCAGGCGCCCCTTTAAAATTTCTGTTTTTGAAGCTGAATTTTATTTAAAAAAAAAAAATTTTTTTTTTCCAACGTTTATTTATTTTTGGGACAGAGAGAGACAGAGCATGAACAGGGGAGGGTCAGAGAGAGAGGGAGACACAGAATCGGAAACAGGCTCCAGGCTCTGAGCCATCCGCCCAGAGCCTGACGCGGGGCTCGAACTCAGGGGCCGCGAGATCGTGACCTGGCTGAAGTCAGACGCTTAACCGACTGCACCACCCAGGCGCCCCAGAAGCTGAATTTTAAAAGATCACTTCTTAACATCTATAATGAAGTCAACCCACTTGTTGAATCTTCGGCTATGCCTGTGTATATACTTAATATTTTCTTTCAATAAACTACGTACCTAAATAACAGAGCCAGATGAATCAGCTTGAGTTAGGAGTAAACCTAGACATATGTTCTCCATTAAATGACTGGCGGTGAGGGGGCAGGAGAACTCGAAGCTGCTTCGCACAACTCATTACCCTGCAGGCCAGCTGATGTTCAGAGATTTGTCTGGGCTACATCAGTGGTTCCTCTGACGCGTTGCAGAATGGCAATGGCTTGGGGTTCAATGAGTGTGTGTTGAGTCCTGGCTGCCTCCGGGGGCCAGGGAACGCCAGCGTGGCCTCTGCCTACAAATCCCACGCGTCTGGGTGGGTTTCATGCGGAAAAGTCCAGGATCCTCTCATGTCAGCTAGTAACACCTGTGGATGTTTCAGGATTCTTCCTCATCAGCGCCCTGTACTTTCTTTTCAGTTCCTGAACTCTTCGGCTTTCATGGCGATAATTGTCACTTCGGACTTGCCCAGCCTTCAGGACACCTTCACTGCGCTTTAGCAGTCCCGCAAGGTATGTAAGGAATGCGGTCCTACTCCGATTTCCAGGAGGTGACGGATTTGAGCCAAAGCTGCCGCCGGGCTGTTTGGTGCGCGCCTGCCATCTAGCGGTGGGACGCAGATCCCGACGGAGGGCGGCCTGGAGTGGCTGGGCTAAGGTCGTTTGCTTGGCTCCTGTGGTTCTAAGAGGGTTCTCAGAGCGCCCCCGGAAGTCTGACTGCTGAAGTGATCTCGCTTTTGTTTCTTCCTGGAAAGTCTTTAAAAGAGCCTTCGTTAGGGCCGATCGGAGCTGCCCCCTTTTCTCTCCCGCTACAATCTGTTGCAAGTGGTTCTCCAAGCTGCTCGTTACAGTCAAAGGGGGGGGGGGGTGTTGAAAAGGGCGGTCCATTCCTGAGAATTTTGATTCTGTAGGTCTAGGGAGAAAAATCTTTTGTAACACACTGCCAGGTGAATCAGGCACACAGGCAGGGCTGGAAACCGAGGGGCTCGTGTATTGAATCATATAGACCATTCAGATCCGTGGTGTTCATCGTACTCGGGTGCCCATTTCGTCCAGGAACGTCGTCTGTGCTGTTCAAGTCTCTTCTCTGCCTGTGTGGGGACTGGAAAGAAGGCTTGAGTCTGCTCGTAAGGCCATTCAAATCCAGCACTGCCCTCTTAGGTTGCAAGACCCCGCCCCAGGAGATGCTAAACTATGGTGCCCCGGGAAAGTGCCTTAGGATGTCCTCAGAGGTGGGCACATTTTTTAGGAGTCATCTTCAAGCAGGTTTTGGTCACAGCGCCCTTTGTGACATCTTACCTGAAGTCTCAACAGAGAAAAGAAAAATGTGGTTAAAGTTGGCAAGAGGGCATCTCGAGAATCATGCAGACTCTTCCTTGAGGATTCTGAGTTTTCTTTGAAACCGGGAATCCAAGCCCCTCATTTTACACACGAGGAAACCAGGGCCCAGAGGCCGAGTGACTGGGTCAAGATCCTAGCAATGTGGGCTGAAGGTCTGCAGTGGACTTGATTAGGGCTTTAAAAAGAGAACTCCCTCCTCCTGGGTCTCATCTTGGAGCTTCTCCAGGGGCAGGCGTTGTTGGCAAAAGTTGGGGTGGGTCTCTGCTCTTGGATTGATTCTTTTTGGCAGGAAGAATGATCTAAGTAATACTCACTTGGTTTGCAGAAGGCAGGAGAAAAAGGAGAGAGAATAGAATGCCTTTTATTTATTATTTTATTATTACCATTTTTTTAATTCTTAAAAAAAAATTAATGTTTATTCCTTTTTGAGAGAGAGAGAGAGAGAGAGAGAGAGAGAGCGAGCACAAACAGGGGAGGGGCGGAGAGAGAGAGAGAGGGAGACACAGAATGTGAAGCAGGCTCCAGGCTCTGAGTTGTCAGTACAGAGCCCGACACGGGGCTCGAACTCATGAACCGCGAGATCATGACCTGAGCCGAAACCAGACGCTTAACTGACTGAGCCCCCCAGGCACCCCTTGAACACCTTTTAAAAATTAGGTTTAGGGGCGCCTGGGTGGCGCAGTCGGTTAAGCGTCCGACTTCAGCCAGGTCACGATCTCGCGGTCCGTGAGTTCGAGCCCCGCGTCGGGCTCTGGGCTGATGGCTCAGAGCCTGGAGCCTGTTTCCGATTCTGTGTCTCCCTCTCTCTCTGCCCCTCCCCCGTTCATGCTCTGTCTCTCTCTGTCCCAAAAATAAATAAACGTAAAAAAAAAAAAAAAAAAAAATTAGGTTTAGTTGGTTGGTGTCAACTGAGTTTTGCGGAAGGGGTTCCACCTCTGCTTAATGATTTCCGCGTGGTCTAGCTTCCGCTAAAAGGAGATACAGCCTCTTGGGCAAACAACTCTGCAGTCAGCAGACCTAGCTTCACGCGTTGGCTCCTTCCCATAACAGCT